TCAAGGTCAGCAGCTCGAAACTACCAGCGGTTCCGCGGGAGAAAGATGAGGCAATCTGCTCCCGTAAAGATTTACAGCCTCAGAAACCCTGTGTAGGGTTGCTATGAGTCGGAACCGACTCCACGGCACTTAACAACAACATATGTATATCTATCTATAATTTTTGTTGCTGATCTTAAATACTTAGCTCTACCTCCTAAGGCATATATACTCCACATAATTATCATATCATTCACACTTTAGAAAATAGCTGTTAATATTTAAGTTTCCCCAGGATTTCAGTATTCCCCAGTTGACAGTTCAGGCTCACCAGCTGCTCCTTGGAAACCCTTTGCAGGGTTGCTATGGGTTGGAACTGACTCAATGTCACTTAACAACAACAACATAGCTGTTTTTATCCATAAATCAATCAAGGTTCATGCATTTTGTTATATCACTTGTTTCATTTAATTTAGACAGTATCTCAAATGTGGTTTTTGTTTTTTTTTTGGTCTGTTTTCATGACAGACTTTTTTTTTTTTTTTTTAAAGCTTTTATTGTGAATTGAGTGAGAGTTTTCATGGCAGAACATCAATTTTGCACTCAACCAATCATGCTTTGTTTCACTGCAATGATTACAGTCACCTCTGTGCACAATTGTTAATAATATTTGCCTCTGTTCCCTCTTTTTTTTTTTTTTTTGATGTACACAAAGACACACAGGAATATGTAATCATTTAAACAACCAAATGGCACATTTTGCAAGCCAACCTCCTGCCCACCAGCATACATCCTTTCTCTTTCCATGAGTCTAGAGTCTCACCTGTTCTATCTCTCCATTCCATCATCTCTGCTTCCATCTCTGGTGTTGCTGCTTCTCTGGTTAGAATTCCATGTTCTGCTCATGCTCTCCTCTCTTGATGGTCCTAGGGTCCTCTGTTCCTAAAATGTAAAATTGACTACTCCCCCCTTTTTGTTACACAACTTATACCTGTACAGGTGTGACAATTGCAATTAGTCATGATAACAATCATTCACCACTGAATCAGAAGAGCCTATCCCCATCTTCTTTCACCAGTCTCATCTAGATAACATGAAAACTATTCAATGGGGTTTATACCTTCCCCTGTTTGCTCTGAAACTAAACTCCTGTGTGAAAGCTTGTAAGTCAGCCACTTCGTGTCTTTATATCCCTCTCCCCCATTTTAGGCAACCAATGTGTAAGCTACCCATCTCTATCCACACTGTGTACAGAGAGAATAGACTTGATCCTTGATGCAAAGACTCCTTTTCTCTCCAGTTGGTATTCTGAGCTACTCCAGCCATAAGTAAAGGTCAAGTTCATCAAATTGTAGCAATTTACACTTGCTTCCTGTATCAAATTTCTCTATCTTCCTCTAATCAAGTTCTGATCATCAAGCCATCCAAGCTAGGACATGACAGATTTTTTTAAAGAGTTCAGGCCAGTTGTCGTATTCTGGATTTGTGTATTGCTTCCTCATTATTTAATTTAGATTAAATGCTTTGTGTAAAAATTCTACATAAATGATGATGTGAACCATTTATTACATCATATTACTCATAACCAAACCTATTGCCATGGAGTTGATTCTCACTCATAGTGATCATATAGGACAGCATAGAACTTCCCCATAGGGTGTTCAAGGCTGTAAACCTAACAGGAGTAGACTTTTTCCCATGCACCAGGCTAGTGGATTTGAACCATCAACCTTTTGATAAGCAGCTGAGTACTTAAATTCTGTGGCACCAGGGCTCCTTACATGATGTTGTTTGCATCGAGTAGTTTCTGATTCATAATGACCCTATGTAGGATTTCCGAGAGCAGGTGGTAAGTTTGAACTGCTGACTTTGTGATTAGTGTGGTTAGCAGTCCAGTGCTTATCCTACAGCATCACATCATATTAGGAAGCATCTAATTTCAAACTATACCATTATTAGTGATTCTAACTTTGATTCCTTTTTGTAATTAATACATAACTTATGAGGCCAGGCCATGCGAATATCCGGTTTCCCAACAATCTTAGACCCAATGGTTTTAACATCCATTCATGATCCCTCCCTGAGTCATTTTCTAATTTTATTATTTCCCCAGATATTTTCCCCACCTTTATCTGTTTTCGCCCTTCTCTTCTTCCGTGACCTTTTTGAGTATCACTGTGGTGTAGCATTATAGGATAAGCACTAGACTGCTTACCAAAAGGTTGGTAGTTCAAACCCACTAGTGGTTCTTCAGAAACCCTGTACAGGCTCACTATGAGTTGGAATCAACTCGACGGCAGTTAACAACATCATGGATTCATGAAGGAACCTTGGTGATTCAATGGTTAAGTACTTAGCTGATAACTGAAAGTTTGATAATTCAAACCTACCAGTGGTTCTGTGGGAGGAAAGACCTGTCAACCTGTTCCCATAAAGTTTGGCAGCCTAGGAAACTCTCTGGGCAAGTTTTCTGTCATATGGTGTCACTGTGAGATAGAATCATATTGACATTGCACGATCAGAGCAATCTGGACTCAGTAAGTTTGTACATTCACAAGCATTCCACAGTTCCCTATTAAAATTCTTGCCTTCCATTTCCTGGCTGTTGCTCTTCATAGCATGGCTTCTAGGACCTATGAGTGGACCAAACACAACCAGACCCATTGCTATCAAGGCGATTTCAACTCTTAGCCGCTGTATAGGATAGAATAGAGCTGCACCACAGAGTTTCCAAGGTCATAACTTATTAGGGAAGTAGACTGCCGCATCTTTCTCTTAGAGAGTGACTGGTGGTTTCAAATCACCAAACTTTTATTAGCAGTGCAGTGCTTTAGCCACTGTACCACCTTTTAGTTACCTTCCATTGTCATACTGCTCACCCTCATCCTTCACTTTTTATATTTGTGTCTCTCTTCTCCCACGGTGAAAACCCTGTATTCCAGTAACACCACTGTATTTACTCATTTGTTCTATCCTTTAGTTGGTATTATAACAACAATATTTTTTTGTGGTTGTTATGTGCCATCAAGTCGGTTCCAACCCATAGTGACCAGAGGGTTTCTGAGGAGCGACTGGTAAGCTTTAATCATGGACCTTGCAGATCAAACCGACCATGCAATCTAGTGCACTAACCCACAGCACCACACCAGCACTCAAACACTAATCGTATATCACCAAAAAACTTACTAAGTAACTTTTACTGTGTGATTATTTTTTCCAATCTTTTGTGTACTTTTAATACATCCCACTTAAGTTATGTACTTAGAACACTGTGCTCAAGTCACTTGGACTTTTTTTTCTGTTTGATATACTTTTTAGCATCATATATTTCTGTTTTATGTTGTTTCAAGGTTTGCTTTTTATCCATTTTGAAGCCTCACTCCCCTTGCTATTCTCTTACCTGATTCCCACCCATTCCCTAGAGAATGAGAGTGAGACTTTTAATATAGGTTTGAGTTCTGAGCCATGTTAAGTGTTACATATTCAAAAAGTAAATTTAAAGGTAAAATGATAATCATTACATAATAAGTCCATAAGACTCTTTGTCTTACATAGGATACTAATGTTTATACCAGCTTTTTGTCTTGCTTTTCATTTATTTGGCAGTCTTTTTCCATCTCTTTAACTTCCAACCTATGTGTGATTACACATCCAGTTTTGAGAACCTCAGTTTTGTTCAAGGCAACTTTGTGATCACATATACACTTGTTTTCTGCCCTTTGTAGTTTTGAGAAATCTAAGATGTAGCCACAGCAAGTGGTGACCAGGCAGCGGACCATGGTTGCTTAAGTAGCTGCTGTTTCGTGGCTGCTGGCTCCGCACATTGTCCTTCTTAGCATTCTTAGAGCTTCTGATTTCTTTCCCATTTCTTCTCTGGGTCAATTCTCCCTACTTGGAAACATTATTGAGGGTGTGTCATAATTACAGGATTTAGTCTTACAAATGTTCTTTTTCCAAAGTTGACTTTTTCAGCCTTTAGCCGAGGGACATAATTATGAGAACACTTCTCAGAAACTGAAAGGATTTTTTAAAAAGTTTAGTCTGCCACAAAAGTGAACATTGATTCAAGTGCCGGAGAAGTGAAATATTACTTTTCTTTGTACTTTAACCCTGCTGGCAAAGTCCAGCAGTGTAACACTCTTTGTAGCCAGTCACAGTATAACTCACTCTGTGTGCCTCCCAAGTGACCCCAAATGCCCTAGTATTTTCAGTTTTATGTTTGGGCACAGTAGAAAGGCAGTTTTGGTAGATATTCTGCATATTTGTCTTTTCTATACCAAAGACCTCTTTAAAGTGTTCAAGAACAAAGTTACCAGTTTTAGGACTAGGATGCGCCTGACCCAAGCCATGATATTTGCAGTCACCTCATATGCATGTGAAAGTTGGACAATGAATAACGAAGACCAAAGAAGAATTGATGCATAATGGTGTTGGATAAGAATCAAGCTTACTAGCTACTCCTTGGAAACCCTATACAGGGTCCACATGGGTTGGCACTGACTCAACGGCACTTAACAACAACAACACCAAGAATATTGAAAGCACCAACAACAAACAAAAACTATCTTTCAACAAGCAAGTCTGTGTTGAAAGAAGTACAGCCAGAATGCTTAGAAGCCAGGATTGTGAGACTTTGTCTCTCATACTTTCACATGTTACCGGGAGGTACCAGTCCCTGGAGAAGGACATTCTGCTTGGTAAGATGGAGGCAGATGGATTGACACCATGGCAGCAGCAGTGGGCTTAAGTGTAACAACAAATGTAAGGATGGCACAGGACTGGGCTGTGTTCTGTTCTGTTCTGTTGTGGATGAACTGATTCAATGGCACTTAACAACAACATCATCATACCAAAGCAAACAGTGAAAAGCAACCTACCTATTTTCTCTGACCAGAAGTTTTGGAGTTATTTTTTGGTTTGATTATCAGTTTTTCTTAGCTCAATTCAGAGATTTACTGGAAGTGATTTAAAAACTGGGAAAAGGAATATATGCTAATAGAAATCTCTTGTCTTTCTCTTAGGGCTGCTGCTCAAAGTAAATTAGGTCACTACACAGATGCAATAAAGGATTGTGAAAAAGCAATAGCAATTGATTCAAAGTACAGCAAGGCCTATGGAAGAATGGGGTAAGTTCTTGGAGAATGTCCAAAATAGTGCCAAATAATTCTATGCTTGTTGTTCTTCATGGGCTGTTTTTTAATTTCTGAAATAATAAGAAATTAAACATGACATAATGCCCTCAATTTCCTTGACTTGGGAGTGAGATGATTAGTTTTGTGATAAATGGTTTGTTGTTGGAGAAAATGACATAGTCATAGTAAGTAGACTCCTTTTATGTTCATGAGCACATATCTCAAGTGAGCACTCAATATTGACTGATGGTTTTGCTATACTTTCTTCCAAATTCATCTTGCCTCTCTCTCAAGTATTTCATACCTTCCCTTCTATCTTCAAATGTCTAGTATCGCCTTCATGGTGACCCTCATCTGGTAATACTACCTCATACTTAATTGAAATGCATTTAGAAGAAAAGTAAGTCATCTTCCTATTTCCATATCTTCCACTCTACTTGTATTTGTATATACACAGACTGTCTTTTTTCCTGTTAAATTGGAAGGGTTCTCATCTAAGACCTTCTCTACTCATGCTATAGGTTGTATCCCTTTCTAACTTCTCCAAGACATAAATGTATCTTATCCCCTTTATAGTTTACAACACCAATTTTCCTGTCTCTTAATAAGAAAACTTCCTCAAAGCAGCAGTATCAGTAGTTTAAAAATGTAACCTTGGTGATAGAAATAAAAATGGAAATCCCCTGGTAGAAATTTTTAAGACCAGTGACTTACTCATTGCATATACCTTTTTGCAGCAACATAAAAAGTAACATTACATGTAGACTTCACTAGATGGACTATTCAGGAGTCAAATTGACTATATCTGTGGAAAGACACGATGGAGATGCTCAGTATCATCAGACAAAAAAAGGTCAGGGTTTGTCTGTCAAAAACATATCATCAGTTGTTCATATGCAAGTTCAAGTTGAAGTTGAAGAAAATTTTCATAAGTCCACAAGAGCCAAAATACGAAGTTGAGTGTATCCCATCTGAATTTAGAACTAATTTGGGGCATTGAACACTAATGCTCAAAGACCAGATGAGTTGTAGGATGACATTAAGAATATCATACATGAAAGAACTATAGGAAAACTTTCAGCTTTGAATTGTATGTAATATTGAAGTATTCTCTGGGGAAAATATTGATTGATGCAAGAAGCAGGGGTGGCAGAAGGGTGACGACCCACCAAGGCATGGGCAGGTGTGGTTTGGAGCACACGAGCAGGGCTGACAGGAACAGGTATGCAGGGCCTTTTGGGCCCCCCAATTGGTGCCCAGTTTTCCAGGCACTCTCGGCAGATAGGCCCAGCAGGTAGACACGAAATAGAGCAGGCCACTGGCTCAGGTTCAAAGGAGGACAACCCAAATGTAAGATCCAGACCTGGTGGGGGAGAATGCAAGACTTTCCTGCATATCCATTATATTGGGAGCAGGCCACATCCCTAAGGAAACACGATTTCAATGGATTGACTGCTCATAGCCAATCATCATACAGTTAACTGTCAACTGCCCAACAACTGGAATTCTGGCTCAGTGAAATTGACACAGAACCTAACTATCACCGAACACTTTACTAAATCCTAACAGAATGAAGACAAATCATCCAGATGGCAGAGTCCCATCAGCATTAGGCCATAATAGTGTCCAAAGGATTCATGGCTATATTACTAATTATAGAGCATTGAAAACAAAGGAAATTCATTATGAAATCATGATTGGCAGCACATCAGTTCATTACTGTGGCAGGCAGGACTATGGAAGCAGGAAAGGGAACTTGATTGGGATCCACACAATTTTGCCCCTTAGAAAAACGTACGTGATTGATTCTGGGACCCTCCAACTACTTTGGTCCAGGTGTGACTCATAACCATTTGACCCCGATACCCCAATTTCCATTAAGGACATACCCAAGGTGAGGCTGCCCATCCCTGGGTTGGCTAAGGAATCATAGTCACCCTTTCTCAAGCATACTGTATGTGACGGTCAAGCTTTTTACGTTGCCCAATAATGGTCACAATGAACTCAACAGAGGCTGAGTATATGTAAAGACTTCAAGTGGCGTTGGAGCTTCCACTGTAAATCCTAGCTGCCCACAAACCACGTGCTTAAAATTTAAGGTCTACTACAAGGGTTGGGAGTCCTGGTGTGGCGCTGTGGGTTAATGCGCCAGACTGCAAAGCCATTTGAGCTGTAAGGTCGGCAGTTCAAGCTTACCAGCTGCACCTTGGAAACCCTATACAGGGTCACTATGGGTCGGAACCGACTTGACGGCACTGCACTACAACAACAACAATACAAGGGTCAGTGAGAAAGAGGAAGACACACAATGAGATGGGTTGACATAGTGACTGTGACAGTGAGCTCACAGAACAGTTGTGAGAATGAGGCCGGACAAATCATCCAGCAGTGTCTTCTTCTGTTGAACATGGGATAGGTAAAAGTTGGAACCGTCTTGACAGCACCTAACAATAGATGATGACTAGCATGTGAAAAGGTTGTGGAAATCATTCATCTGAACCCTCATTTTAACCAATGTTCCCCTCCAGCTGCTACCTTTATTTCGCAGTTTCTCTTTCTTTGCAGGTTTCTGTCGCATCATTCTCTTATTGGTTCACTCCAATACGATTTTTGTCTGTACAGTGTAGTTCTCTGCAGGGTTACTGGCTGTACGTCATCTTACCAAGGACAGTGCTTAGTTTTGTATTCATATTATACCCCCAATCTATCAGCAAGTCCTATCAATTCTTCTATCTCTGTATATCTACAATCTAACTACCACCTCTCACATGAACTTCTACAGTAGTTTTCTAACTATTCTCCCTACCTCTACTCCAATCCTTGCACATGTTTGTCTTCTACTAATAAACCAGAGTAAGCTTATTAAAGTATAACTCAGATTATGTGTTTGTACTGCAACCAGAATAAAATCCAAGCTCCAAACCATGGCTCTATGTGACCTGTCACTTGATACTCTGACATCATATTTCCCACACTGCTTTCTGTTGTGTGTTTTTCAGGGTCTTTGTTTTTACTGCTAACTCTGATATTCCGTATGACTGCTTTCTTCTTATCGTTCAGTCTTAACTCCAGTGTTATCTTTTCAGTGTGGCTTCCCTTGAACATTCATTCTCTTTAATGTCATCCCTTCTAATTTGCATGTCTATTGCCTGTCTTCCTCAGAATGTAAATTTCTTAAAGTCAGGAGCTTTATCTTTTTCACTGTAGAACCCTCAATGTCTAAACTAGTGCCTGACACAATAGTAAGGTTTCAGTAAAAACTTACTGGCTGACTGTTGATTAATTGGGAACATTGATCTTTCCTGGTTGACTAGCAAAAAAAAGAATTAGGTTCTGAAAATCATTTATGTTTAGGAACTGAATTTTGTTCAGATCAGAAAACTGTGGGTTAAGTCAGAAAACAAAGAATTGGTGTAATTTGTTAACAACCAAAGCTAGGCCAAAAAACCACTGCATTCTTTGCCCATACTGTTGATCATTATTACTTAGTTTTGAAGTAATTATCCAATAAATAACTTCTAACTAGATAGTAAAACTGGGTACCAGAAGGGTAATGGGTTTATTTGTTGTTTTCTGATACTTTTAAATCGTTTATATCTTATATTTTTGTGTTCTTCAGGCTGGCCCTCACTGCCATGAATAAATTTGAAGAAGCAGTTACAAGTTATCAAAAGGCATTGGATCTTGACCCTGAAAATGATTCCTATAAATCAAATCTGAAAATAGCAGAACAGAAGTTGAGAGAGGTATCCAGTCCTGTAAGTTATGAATGAATGTCAAATGAGTGAAATACTTTCTATCACTCACAATTTATTATAATTGAATTGTGGTGGCTGGAGTGATTCTCAAATTGAATTGTTTTACAGACAGGAACTGGATTGAGCTTTGACATGGCCAGTTTGATAAATAATCCAGCCTTTATTAGTATGGTGAGTATATTTCCTTTTCTGCTCTGTTGTCTTTCATTCATAGAGCTATGAACATATGAGGCACTGAACAGCAGCAACAAATATGAGAGTAAGTTAGAAAGTATAGCTACAAAATCATGTTGTTGTTGTGGCCTATCAAGTTAGTTTCAATTCATAGTGACTCTGCATAGGGTTTCCAAGAGTGGCTGGTGGGTTTGAACCACCAGTCTTGCAGTTAATAGTCCAGTGCTTATACTATAGTACTACACCAATACAAGGTAAAGTCAAAAAGTATTGCTACAAAATCATAGCAACCTTTATTAAACCAAAATATCCAAATTTGAAGCTATTCTTTCTTGACATGTCCTCCAACTATGTCTATACCCTTCTGAAAGCAGTGTTTGCACCTCTATAATGCTTAGCTCCTGGATTGATAACTGCAAGGTTGGTGGTTCAAACCCACTAGTCATTGCTGGTATTTTCAATAACCTCATATTTTCAATGGTGGTAGTGTGTCGTAGAGTCGTAGCGACCCTATATAGGATTTCCGAGGTTGTAAATATTTACAGGGAGTAGAATGCCTTGTCTTTCTCATGCAGGACAGCTGATAATTTCGAACTGCTGACCTTGAGGTTAGCAGGCTGACTTGTAACCACTATGCTACCAGAACTTCATGGTATTTTCAGTAACCTCAAATGCATGCAAAAGTTGGACAGTGAATAAGGAAGACTAGAAGAGTTGGTGCTTTTGAGTATGGTGTTGGAGGAGGATATTAAAAGTACTATGGATTGCTCTGGTAGTGTAGTGGTTACGAATCGGGCTGCGAACCTTAAGGTCAGCGGTTCGAAACTACCAGCCGCTTCGCGGGAGAAAGATGAGACTTTCTACTCCCGTAAGGATTTACACCCTCGGAAACCCTGTACAGGGTCGCTATGGGTCGGAACCGACTCAACGGCACTTAACAACAACAACAACATGGATTGCCAAAAGAACAAACAAAATCTGTGTTGGAAGAAGTATACCCAGAGTGCTCTTTGAAAGCCAGGATGACAAACTTCTTTTTCATACTTTGGACATATTGTCAGGAGGGACCAGTCCCTGGAGGACATCATGTTAGGTAAAGTGGAGAGTTGGAGAAGAAGAAGAAGACCCCCAATGAGATGGATTGGCACAGTGGTGACAGTGATGGGCTCAGGTGTAGCAACTATTGTGATGTTAGCCCAGAACTGGGCAGTATTTTATTCTGGTGTGCATAGGATCGCTATGAGTCGGTATAAGCTCAGTGACACCCAACAACAATAGGCATTCCTTGGAAACCCTATCCAATGTCACTATGAGTCAGAACTGGCATTTAACAACAACAACCCTTCCCAAAGAATTCTGTGCTCTTAGATTTATACAATGTCAAAATGGCAAATCATATTCTTTTGAAATGTTGCGTTTGGGAGCAAAAAGATGTCTTCAAGGCTATAGGGTAGATGGCTAAGGTTTCTAAGTGAAATTTTCATCCGCCAGCCCTTGCTGCCCTCAAAGAATTGTCGTTTTAGAAAAACATTCCTCAGTGCAACTTTCCTGGCCTTTTCCTCACTAGTGCAGTCTTCCATTTTTTAAAAACTTCTTCCTAATCAGACCCTTGTTTACCTTGTGTCCTTTGAAAATATCTGTCAAATGCATTCCCAAAACACCATCACCATAACCTGAGCTTACTTCGGCTCTGCCTTCAATTTAACTGGACCAGGAGATCCTTTCAGATACCACTGTTTTTATTGGACCTTTTTTTGAAGGTACCCTAATGAGGCTAAGATAAATATATACTGAAAGACTTTGCCTTCGGCCATCCACTAATATTTAAACACATTTTCTTTGGAATAAACATTTGTATATATGAACTGGAGCCCTAGCAGCAATCCTTTTTTTTTTTTTTTATGTAAGGTTTTTATTGTGGATTAACTTAAAGTTTACGGGGCAGATCATCAGTTTTACATTCAATAAATCATGCAACTTGTTTCATTACAATGATTATAATCCCCTGCATGTACCATCAGTTAACAGTGTTTCTCTCTATTCACTTTAGCTCTTTTTTTTTTTTTTTAACATTCAGGTATATGTAATAGTTTATACCTCCAAAATGCACATTCTGCAAGTCTGTCTCCTGGCTACCAGCCCTTAGTCCTTTACTTCCCATGAATCTAGAGTCTTCAGCTGCTCCCTCTTTCCATGTTCCCATCTCAGCTCTAGCCCTCTGTGGCTATGTCCTTGTCCATAGGCTCAAGCGTCCCCAGGTCTCACCATACTTTGGACCAGCCAGCCCTTCCTCGTCTCTCTCGCTCATCTCCAGGTCAATGGGAGTCTAGTGGTTGAACTCAGCCCATTTCTTCGTTGCTGCCTTTCTCCCTCTTCCATTCACCACTTAGACCAATGTGGCTGCCAGCAAGCTTACATGCCTACTCATGTGTTCCTTTTGAGTTTCAGTGTTAGAGGGGAGTTTGTCCTGAAGGAACTTGATTGCTTGCTTTGATGGCTTCTTGTAGTAGCCAGTCATACTGACATTTTTGTTTTGGGATTTTCGTGATCATCTTTCTTTAAAGAGATATCTTCTGTCGCTCTAGCTGTTCCAGGATGGTCTGCTTTTCCTCTCTAGTGGCGATGTTCCACCTCAGAAGGTTCTGAATGAGACTCAGGATTCCACCTAAGGTCCTATGCTCTGCAAAGGCTTTGCAAGAGGCCTATGTCACTGGGAAAGTTTTAGAACTTCATTTTGGTATTCCAATCAGTTATAGGCTGAAGACGGGTTTACAAGTTTTCTGTAATCATGTTTCCCGACGTTCCCTTCTATCCCACTCAGTATCTATTTTACAATAGTAGGTAAAGGAAACCAATATTCATGACAGTCAAATCTTAGTATTATTTCCTCTCTTCCCTGTATCCCAGAGCCCTGTTGTTCTAAGGTTGAGCATGCATCACTGTTTACCTCTGTCCCACTTAGGCCATGCAAACCTGTCTCAGTGTTCCCCTATCTACCTTGTTCTTCCACCTCCTCCCCCTTCTTGTATTGCCCTCCCCAACACCCGAACTATGAAGTGTCTGCCCTTACCCTGTGCTCTACCATCATCTCCCTCCACTTCCCTCTAAACCCCCACCCCAACTCCACTGTAGTGGTTACCTTATATTCCATTAACTTTTCCCTCCATTTAAAACAGTTTATTTTATCCTGTAATCTACCTGACCTCACCAACTGGATCTCTGTTCCTCTGTATTTACCTTCTTTCACATTGTAATTGTTTTGATCATAGACTGACCTCCCAGATACTCTGAAGTTGTATGTCTCTCCATTGCCTTTTTGTCCACATGGTTTCTGTTGAGAAATCCAAGCTTAATCTGATTTGCTTACCTTTGTATGTTACATTTCTCTTTTCCCTAGCTGCTTTCAGGATTCTATCCTTATCTTTGATTTTGGAGAGCTTGATTATTATATGTCATGGTGATTTTCTTTTAGGGTCTATCCTTCTTGGGGTTCGTTGAGCTTCTTGAATGCTTATCATTTTTCAGGATTTTAGGGAAATTGTCTTCCAGCAGCTCTTCAACTATCTCCTGTGGACTGTGTGATTCTTACTGTTCCAGAATGCAGATAATTCTTAAGTTATTTCTCTTCATGTTGTCCAATATGAATCTTACACTTTCTTCTGATTTTTTAATTCTTTTTTCTGCTTGTTCTTCTATCTTAGTAGTATTGAGAGATTTATCTTCCAGCTCACTAGTTCTAGCTTCCATCTCTTCAGTTCTACTGCTTTGACCTTTCAGTGTATTGTCCATTTCTGATATTCTATTATTAATTGTTTAGACTTCTTTCTGTGGGTTTTGAACTGTTTCCAGTGCTGTATCTATCTTATTTGATTGTTTCTGTAGTGCTTTCCTGACTTCTTCCTTATTTGTCTCAACTCCATTGTAAAGTGTTTTGATACATTTTGTAATTGTTTTTCTGAATTCCTTCTCAGGCGTTTCCAAAGCCTGCCCTCCTTTCAGTATGGATCATTTGTCTCAGTCACTTTATCTTGTTTCTGGACATGAACTGATATGGTCATCTGTTTCTGTTCTTCGGGCATATTCAGTGGTTAGCTGTGGCCTTAATACTTAGATGGGTGTGTGTTTTGGTATTCTTTATGCTTTCTGAATGCCTCCAGGTAGATGTGATCAGGAGATGGGCTTCCCTTTTCACTCTTCTTCCTGAGAAATTGTTGTTGTTCCTGAAAAATTCCTGATGCCACTGTTGGTCATTGTGATGTAACTCAGGATTTAATTTTCAGCCTGTTTCTTTTTTAGTCTGCCTGTCTAGCTCCACAACCCCTGTTCAGGCCTTTTTCCTAGTGATAAGCATTTTAGGGCCGGCTGTGGCCATTCTGTGCTGCCATTTGGTTTTAAGTGGAAACTATACCTTTAAATTTTGAAGAGATCTGTGTGTATGCATAGTAGAACCCCTCGGGGGTAGGAGTGAGATGTCCTCTTGCTCAGACACCCCATCTAGTCACCAGAATGGAGGTGTGCAGACAGCGAGAGACCAATGAACAAATATTAAAAAAGAATGTCCACACCTTTATCTCCGTGGTTTTGTCAGGCGTCTGTGGCTGCTCTGATCCTTCCCGCGCTTGGTCTCATCCAAGAAAACTGCTCAGGGAGCAGCTGAACACCTTGGATTAGAAAGCACTGGATTTCTTGCTTCTGCCACAAATTCCACTGGCTGTAAGCCTTCCAACTTTCTAAATATTCCTTTATATGTGGTTCAGAGTTCTGGGACCATGCCCTGAGCCTTCTTGGTGTGGTATTCTGTATTGTTGCTGACAGAACTCCTCACTTGACTTTTACCCTATCTGCCATCTTGTTTGTTCTCCCAGTGGCAATACTTTTTGAGTCACTCCTGTATTGTTTTTTGTTTTATTTTAATACATTTTAGAAACAAACAAGGAAGCTTTTGTGGTGGGTGGTCGTAAGCAGTGATAAAGGCTGTGACAGAAGCTTCCAGCATATTCATGGACTGCTTTGTATGAAAGCCTTCGATGAACTTCAGGAAACCCATGCATTCCCTGAAATCCTGTGTACTAATTTGTATACGTATGGATATGTGTTTTTACTCAAGGAGAAAACTATAGTTCTAATCAGATTGTCAGAGGAGTTTGAAAATCAAAAAGAATAAAAACCACTCCTATATGTATAATAATTAAGTTCTGAGAATTTTGGCTTTAGTTGTTCCCTTAGTTCTTTCTTCAGCATATTCTGTCTCTTCCTCTTTGTTTAAAAATTTTATTTGAACTTACAATATAATTCTCATATATGTGTACTCTTTCCTTCAAACTGGCAAAATCACTTTAGGACCTTTTTGTAAACACAAGAACTCTGACCCAATATGTAGACACTGATTTGGGTATCTGGGACTTTGGGTATTTGGGTATCTGGGTATTTATATTCCTGGGCATATAAAGTGCCTTGGATGACTGGATACTAATAGCTGAGGAGAGCTCTACTACACACTGTGCCGTTAGATGGCAGCATCCACTCCTTATCCATCGGTTTCCTTCAAAAAGTATATGTTGCATCCACTGTCTTCAGTTGAATTGACATGAACAGATGATTCATTCCCAGTGAGACCAAGAAGTCTGAGCAATGGGTAGTTTTTATTTTATTTTTTTTCTTTAAAACTGTTTGCCTACCTATGAGCCAGCAAATTGTTGTCTCTTTATTTATTTTGTGACATTTTAAAACATTGTTACTCATTACCAGTCATCAGGTTATACTGCTCTGACTGGGCATGAAAATGTAATTCTTTTAGTTCTGATTTTGCATAGGCCATAAAATTCTAGTTGAATGGAGTTAGGAGACCAGCCAGCATCTCAGGTCCATTGGGAAAGTACTTTTCCAGCCCACTCAGAAAACTATATATGGCTCTCAGTTTGGAAGACAGTGGCCTGGTGCCTGACTTTCTAGCCCGAATTAATGCTATGGCTTGAGAAATAATTGTCCTGATGATTCTAGAGTGGAAGTGTGTTTCCTGTGGACCAGAAGTGATCATACATGCTTATGAGGTAGTTCCAGTCTCAATCTGTCCAATGGGACTTTGTCCAAGTGGAACTCCTAGAAGGTATCGGCATCCCAGCACAGAAACTCTCTGTAGGAGACTACTAGTAATTTGTGACCAAAGGGAACGTCACAAGCATTCAACAAGCTGCTGTTGTTGTTGTTGTTAACTGCTGTTGTGTTATTTCCAACTCATAGAGCATCACAAATGGAAACATTGCTCAGTCCTGTGCTATCCTCACAATTGTTTGAGCCCATTGTTGTATCTACTATGTCAGTCTATCTCCTTGGGAGTCTTCCTATTTTTTGATGACCCTCTACTGCACCAAGCATGATGTCCTCCACTGATTGGTCTTTCCTGATAACATATCCAAAGCCTATGCTCACTTCTGAGGAACATTCTGTTTGTATATATTTTTCAACACAGATTTCTTTGTTCTTCTGGCAGGCCATGGTCTATTTAATATTTTTTTTTACCAGCATCATAATTCAAACACTTCAACATTTTGGTCTTCCTTAGTCATTGTCCAGCTTTCTCATGTATATGAGGCAATTAAAAATACCATATTTTGGATCAGGAGCACCTGATGAAGGTTTGCTATTTAATACTTTAAAGAGGTCAGAGCAGATTTGCCCAATGCAGTATATCACTTAATTTCCTGACTGCTGCTTCCCTGGGCATTGGTTGTGGATCCAAGTAAAATGAAATCCTTGATACCATCAATCTTTTCTGCTTATCATGATATTATTAGTCCAGTTTTGAGGAGCTTTGCTTTCTTTATCTAGCCAGCTATCATATTTTTCACAGAATGGATGAGCAACTTCCATGGGTGGTTAGGTTCGGTGAGGTACCTGAAGAACTTTAGAAAGTGCTTATGAGAGATTCAGAATAATTTTAAACAACTATCAAATCTAACCACTATTCATTTGCCAGCTTGTTGGACTGTGGTGGTTTATGTGTTGCTGGAATCTATTTTAAATACTAGCAGGCTCACCCATGTGGACAGGGTCATTGGAGCTTCCATACTAAAACACACTAGGAAGGAGAGGCAGAGACCATCTCTGAATGGTCACCACTGAAAACCTTACAAATAGCAGTGGAACATTGATACAATTAAGATGGGCATCTCAAGTTTGAAGACACTCAAATGATTGGGAAACAGCTGCCTTTTCAAAGTAGGGTTGACCATAAATATATGAATGGAGCAAAGCTTATGGGACCTTCATTTTCTGATGTGGCACAACTCAAAAGAAGAAAAAGCTGCAATCATTTATTAATAATCAGAATGTAGAATGTACTAAGTATGAATGTAGGAAAATTGGAAGTCATCAGAAATGGAATGCATAAAGACCAATATCCTAGTCATTTCAAGATCAGTCTTGAAGTACAACACTGTCTGTGATAGTATAATTTCCATTCACCTACAAGGAAGACTAGTTAACACCATAATTATCAAATTTACACACCAACTATTAAAGCCAGTGATGAAGAATTTGGAGAATTCTACCAAGTTCAGTTTCCAGGTGTGGCACTGTAAGGTAAGTATTGAACTTCTAACTACAAAGTCAGTGGTTAAAATCCATCTGTCACTCTTCAGAAACTCTATACAGGGCTGCTATGAGTTGGAATAACGCAGGAAGCATCAAAAGAAGATAAAAGAAATACACAGAATCACTGTGTCAAAAAGAAGTTCGGTCATTTCAAGAGGTAACATATAATCAAGAACTGATGATATTGAAGGAAGAAGTCCAAGGTGCACTGAAGGCACAGGTGAAAACCAAAGCTCCAGGACTTGACTGAATATCAACTGAAATGTTTCAGTAACCTGATACAGCACTGGAAGTGCTTGCTCATCTATGTCAAGAAATTTGGAAGATAGCTGGCCACCTGATTGGAAGAGATCCATATTTATGACAATTCCAAAGAAAGGTGACCCAACACAATGGGGAAATCATCCAACAATATCATTAATTTCACATGAATACTATAGGGATTACACAGAAAGAGCATGATTTATGAGCCATAAAGATTTTTTTCCCCCCAAAATCTCTTTAATATGCCTCAAAGGCACCAATCCTGTTTGAGATTTAAGACAGTTACTGAATTATTTGCAAATCAATCATCTTTTGAGAATAAAAGTAAGTGGTATTTTTTCTAACACTTTGTTTAGAATCAGTGAATTAAAAGTTAGCATCTACAAAGATTTAGACAACATTTACATTTTACATGAATATTGACAAAATTTACTTTGAGGCAGAAAGAAAAATATTGTGCTTCATAAATGAAAGTTTTAAGTGTGTGTGTGTGTGTGTGTGTATATATATATATATATATATATATCTATGAATGGACCTCCATTCCTAAATGATACCCCCACCCCCACCACTGTAAGCATGTTAATGATGGAAACTCCTGGTTACTACGGAGAATAGGCATATTCCCTTTGGAGTGGAGGAGATACTTAATTAACCACTACATATATATGTAATACATATCATTTGTATATATATATGTCTTTGGTGGGGTTCTGGTACTTAACAACAACAACAGTGTCGTTGTTAAAGTTCCTTAAATATTAAAGCCTTTAAAGGGAGATACCATTTTTTCATTTCCAGGCAGCAAGTTTAATGCAGAATCCTCAAGTTCAACAACTGTAAGTACATAGAAAAGAGATTATATTTTCCCCTCCCATCTACCAGGCTCCACCTAAGACAACCCTGACTGCTAGCTATTTGGAACTTAGAGCCACATTTGGCCTAACTTCCCACATAATGATGGTGTACTTAACTACCTTTTCATTGGCAATTTATCCTACTTGTTAAGAATATATGCCAATCCCAGTGATAAATCTTTTGTGTAATCTAGAATGTCAGGAATGATGACAAATGCCATTGGGGGACCTGCTGCAGGAGTTGGGGGCCTAACTGACCTGTCCAGCCTCATCCAAGCGTAAGTAATACTTACAAGAGAAATAGTGAAATATGTAGTTTATATTTTAGTTTTCTAAGGTAAGGTAACCTCTGGCCCACCTATCTGCTCAATGGGCTTTTTAAAAGGAGTCTTTAGGTACTAATAATTTCCCCCTTTTGGTCTCCTCCCGTCTTATCATCTCAGTGAGGCAGGTGAGAAAAATGTTAATGGAAGAGGTGTAGATAATGTACATGCAAAAATTTTTTTCATTGAGAATTGAAAGTTTACAGATAAGATCATCAGCTTCGTATTAAACAAATCACTTGCTTTGTTTCATCTCAATGATTACAATCCCCTCCATGCATCATTCAACAGCATTTGCTTCCAATCCCTCTATTGTTTTTTTATGTACACTGAAGGAGTCAGGAATATATAACCATTCAAACTAAAGGATATACCCTGCACGCCAGCCTCCTGGCCATCAGCACACAGCCCCTCTCCCTCCTTGAGTTTAGAGTCCCCAGCCACTCCATCTCTCTTCATCTTCTCTGCCTCCATCTCTGGTGTTGCTGCTTCTCTGGATAGGGTCCCGCACTCCACTCTTCTCCCTGGATGGTCTCAGGGTCCTCAGCTCCTGGACTGAAAGATCAACCACTCCCCTCCTTTTGCTATGTTTACCTTTACATATGCAACCTTCATAATCAGTCCTGATAGCAATTACTGTTGAACCATTTCATGAACTTTTTGAAGCACCTTTGTATTTGAGCATGTTCAATAAAAGCCCCTTGCTTCTTTGTGTTTAAGTGGATTTCACCTACTTCAGGCACTTCTTTTTATAGGTGGGGTGTTTTGTTTCTTATAAAGAATTTCACACTGTAATAACTCTATATGAAGGCATTGGTAAACTTGAAAACACTAAAACATGCTTTATGTGGGCTCTCTTTGGATAGTCACCTCAACTTGTGATGTTCATTTTGCATGAGGGTTGTGTGAAATTCTAGAACCACTGTTGTAACCTCACATGCCACCTTGCCTCTTCTGTACAGGGGACAGCAGTTTGCTCAGCAGATACAGCAACAGAATCCGGAACTTATCGAGCAGCTGAGAAATCATGTCCGGAGCAGGTCATTCAGCAGCAGCACTGATGAACATTCTTGATTTGACTAGGAACCCTGGCCCAGAATGTAAATGATTTATGACTCTGAATTCTTCACTGTAGATAGTGGTCCCAAACAGTACCATATCTGATGTTTGAAAATAATGGGAGGAAAAACTCTTGTGTATATTCCTAAAGAATAAATTGTTTAGACATTAGGTTTATCACAGACTTGAACATAACCTGACTCCTTTGGAAGGCTTGTTAACTGACGTGCCAACATAGCACTGGACAAGGTTCCATTTTCAAACCTTTGTTGTCATATTTGTATATTAGACTTAATAGCAGAGTTTATTTATTGAAGAGTAGGGCTGTTTATCAGTGAGTTTTCTAGCTCCAAATTCAGACTTTTTAAAGAGGGGAGATGAGTAAGTGTTTCCCATGCTGGTCTAGAAAACAATATACTTGCCACTGACACGAATGGTATGTTAGGAGAGAAAAGCCTTGTCATCTAATTATCTCAGTAATGAATATGTATCCTAGGTACAGATCAAAGTGACTATATAAAAGGGGAAGGTAGGGTGCTCAGGCTTTTGGCATAGTTCTTACTTAACTAACCTTGTCTGCAAGTTGGTATTGAAAACATTAGCATGGCCAGTTAGGCTCAATTCATAATACATTTAGAAATCCTTACTGGTACTGGTTAGGTCAGTCCGATAACTAACTCCTCAGCTTAGTTAGCACAATTTCACCAGTGGTGACCTCCACATGGAAACTGATGTAAGTAGGTCACGATATACCTGTATTTAAATAAACCAATGGCTTGGCCCTAAGGAATTTCTAAGTGGCATTTGATTACGCTTCCATAAATATTGATCTTTTTTTTTAAATAAACAGTATATTTTGATGGATTACAAAAAGCATCTATCACTAATGTTGCTTGCTCATCTAATCTTTTATAATTTGACTTGGTGTGCCACTCTTCTGCTTAATTTTAATTTGAAGAAACACAAACAGCAGATTTGAAATTATTTTATTATAAATTAGAAGCTGTCTCAGTGGAAAGAAGTGACATTAGGTAGTAACAGCATAACTCTACAGTGGTAAGTGAGACAGTTCTAATTCCAATTAGATGTTCTTTTGCTTGTTAATCAGAAATTTGGCAAAGTCAGGTTGACGCAATAATTTCACATGTTTTGTGAGGGAACACTGAAAAAGTAATATAAACTTAATATAATGTTGATGCCAAGGTCTTGTTATAACTCTTCTTAAAAAAACAAAACAAAAAAAAACAAGACCCAAAGTAATTAAGATCCTAAAATTTAAAAACCAACTTTTTCCTTTTCCTTGTCAGGGGTTCTGTAATTTCACAGTTAGAAACACCTGGAGAATTTATTAAAAATGTAGATTCAAGTTTTTATTTAGTAGGTTCCAGTGTATGGCTCGGAGTCCTGGCACAGCGCATTGTGCTTTGGGTTATTGGGTTGGACTGCGAAATCGTTTGAGCCACAAGGTTGGTGGTTCAAGCTCACCAGCTGCTCCACAAGGTTGGTGGTTCAAGCTCACCCAGTACAGGGTTGCTATGAGTCAGAAACGACTCGACAGCACTTAACAACAACAGAGTGAGACTCAGGAATAACCATTTTGAACAGAACACCAGGTGGTTCTGATTCTAATTCCAAGGACTCTAATTGAGAGAAACAGGGTTCTCTCCAATTAGTCCTGTAAGTAACAAGCAATTGGCTCAGGCAACTGAAAGAAAAAGAAAGACCTGGTAGTGTTGTGGTTATGAGTTGAGCTGTTAGCCTTAAGGTCAGCAGTTCAAAACTACCAGTCCTTCCACAGCAGAAATATGAAACTTTTTGCTCCCATAAAAATTTACAGCAGGGTCGCTGAGTTGGAACTGATCCCAGGGCACACGACCACCACCACCATATGAATTTACAGCTCTGGCCAGAAAAGATGACGAGTGAAGTCTTAGGCTCTTTGAAATGAAATCTCCATAGTGGTTAGGTGCTCAGCTGCTATAGAAAGGTTTGAACTCACCAGGTCTGGAAGGGAAAGATGTTGCTTCTGGAAAGGTTACAACCCTTTGGGCATTTCTCCTCTTACAGGCCTGCTGAATTAACAGTGACTGGATGGCGCTGAATTTGGGTTTTTGTTTGGTTTGTATTTCCATCGAAACCAACTTAATTATTTAAGAAGTTAGACTCAACTCCTAGTGTTCAAGTTTTATACAGAATACAATCCTAACTATTAATATAAAAATGATTTAAAAAAGAGATTCGAAGTTGAGCCTTTATTAAAAACGAATCACTCATATACTGGAGAAAGATGAGGCTCTTTGCATATGTACAGCTTCAGGAATCTCTACACAGGATCACTATGAATCAGGACTGACTTGATGGCACTTAACAGTCTTAACTAGTGTTGGATAAGAAATCAAAGTTTCTAGCACAACTATCTTGGCTGCATTAAAAACGTTTTAAGGTCAATAAAACTGGTAAGCCTCTCCTCAGACTAGAAAATACAAGTTGATACTACCAATAATGACAGAGCTGTAGATATTAAAAGGATAATTAGGAAATACTAAGAGCAATTCTCTGTTTACTGGCAGAGTTACCCCCAACTCTTGGTGGCCCCATACAAAATGGAGTGAAATGCTGCCCGGTTATGTATTGTCCCCATGATTGGTTGCAGATTGTGACCCATAGGGTTTTAACTGGTTGATTTTTGAAGTCAATCAGCAGGCCTTTCTTTCCAATCTGTCTTAGAGCAGAAGCTCCACTGCACCTTGTTCAGGAGTTTAGTCACACACAAGCTTCCAATCACAGATGGGTGGTGGCTGTACATCGATTGGCCAGAAAGTGAACCCATGTCTTTCACGAGGAAGGTGAGACTTCTACCGAAACAAGACATGTTCCTTACAATATGCAAACTACCAAAGCTCACTGAAAACCTAAACTGTTGTTGGTAAGTGCCGTCAAGTCGGTTCCAACTCATAATGACCCAATATAGGGTTTCTGAGGAGTGACAGGTGAGTTTGAGCCACCCACTTTGTGGTTCAAATCGACCGTGCACTCCTGTGTTTATCCTACAGTGCCACACATAAATAGACCTGTATTAATCAAAGAAATTGAATTCATAGTTCAAAACCCTCCAGAAAAGAAAACTACAGGCCCAATTGATACCACTGGTGAACTCTATCAAACATGTTAAGAAGAAATATCAATTCTACACAATCTCTTTCAGAACACAGGAGGACACACTTTCTATCTTATTTAATTTGGCCAGTATTACCTTAGTACCAAAATAAGACAAAGGTATGTTTGTGTCTTAACCACAACATTGTAAAAAAAAAAAGTTACATGCAATAATGGGAATTGGTATATTTCTTCTACTTCACCTTTCAGTTTTGTTTCTTTGCTAATATACTACCCATAACAGATTCAGTGTAGATGTTACATGCCCACTAACTTGCATTCCCATTCTCTTTAGACTACTTTTGCTTTTCAACAAAATACCTTCATTACTTTGAAATTATTACAGTGCTATGTCATTGGATTATGCTAGCTATTCTTAGAGAAGTGTTCCAAGTATTACTCATGCCTGTCTGGAAAATACAGTCTCATCTAGAGAAACATAAGGGCATTATATAAATCTCTATACAGTTTACTTAGGAATGCCTGACTTCTATTAACCACTTTTAACTGCACTAGCTGTCGATACTATGATGCTACCCTATGTAAAACAACGTGCTTGTTAAGAAAATGACATTTTCATTTAATAATGTACCAGATTATTTCTTATCTACTTCTTTGTCACATGGTTTAACAGATTCTTTCCAAGGTAGCATTCTCTAACTTTCAAAGTATGAACAATATGTGTCTGGGTTATTGTTTATAAACAGAAGAGACATTATTAAATTATACAGCAGATTCCAAGCAACTATTGTATGTTAACTTTTAAAAAATTTCAAACAGAAGGTTGAGTCATGAGAGTGTGCTTAAAAGACAATTGAAGTGCACCCAGTGTAGTGGCTACAAAGTCTTGTTTCATCATTTAATTAATCTAACTAGTTTCGGAAAACAGATTTAATTTTACACTACCTGCACTTTATTTTGCACAGACAGTTTATTAGTGCTCTTTAATTCCAGGGGTAAACTTCATTCTGACCATAAGCTTTCAGTTTGGACCAAACAATTTGTCATGGCAATAAATATTTATGTATTTAAGAAAAACAAATTTTTGTAGTTCACTTTAATTCACTCTTTTCACTTCAGAAATTCTATATACATTCTTGAATTTCAGCTCATCAAAACAGTATAGTTTTAAAAGCAGCTAATGTTGTGTTTTCCTAATAAAACTTTGAAATTTCTTATTGCATTCATGTTGCAAAGTTGTTTATAATCTTAACTGTTTTGTTCAGGACATAAGTTAACAATTTGACTACATGATGAGAGAGAAAGCTTTTTATAATATTCATACATGGTTTAGTGTTGAAGATCAAGTAACAAAAACTGGGAATCTTTTAAATAATCCTCATGGGAAAAAGTGGCTTATTTTTCATTGACAAACAAAACAAAACAAAAACAAGTCAAGACTGTCTGACTTAGAATTATATTATTTGCTTACTTAACAAAAAGTTACCTGAGTAATCAACTACCTATGAAATACATCCAATTCTGATCCACTCGTCAGTCACAAAGTAAGACACAAATACCACAGTCCCAATACAATAATTCTTGAAGTAATTAGAAAAGTTCATACCACGTTAGTAAATGCCAAGTTATACAAGTTCTATGCCAATTGTTTTAAACAAACACATTTTCTGTTGACTAAGGAGGTAGGAAAAAAAAAGTGCACTATTTCTGATCAACTATTAAGATACTTCCAAACTTCTAAGAAGTATCTTCTATATCAGCACACCATGGCCCAATCCATTCTGCTACATCTTTCATAAACAGCGGCAATCTTGTTAACAATTGTGCATATCTGCTTTTGCAGTACAGTGGCAGAGCTGAGTAGCTGTGACAGAAACCACATGGCATGCAATGCCTAAAATATTTGCTAGCTGGCCCTTGACAGACAAGTTTGCTGACCCTGTTCTTGAAGCTTGCTAGGAACAGATATTCTCCAGTCAAGTGCATTTAGGTAAGAAAGCCCAGTGGTCATCTAAACTGAAAGGAGATACTGTGTAGAAAATATACAAATATTCAGAATATAACTCCAAGTAAAATCATGATTCTTTTCAAAAGAAACATTTAATATTTTAAACAACTAAAGATTTACAAGCAAAAAATTTAAATAATACATACTTATTTTTGTTGTTAAATTGGTCATTTTACAAAGCTGACATACAGAAAGCAGTTCTATGGAATTAAATGGAAGTATAACATTAGAAATTTTCTTCAGTTCTCCATTTTAATGGCTGAAGAAACCACACAGACTTGTGCAATATCATCATATTCATATGTTCTCTTTAAGAAGGTGTCTGTTAGTCTTAAGCCGGAGACACTCTATTCAAACAAAGAAATAAGTTTTCCTTTATTAGTAATGACAAAATTAAAAATTGAAAGAGCATTATGAGTTAATCACCACCACCCCCCAACCCCCAACCCCAAATATTGAAACAATTCAAAAGAGGACATACTTGCAGTCCCTGCACTGACGACAGGAGAGTAAGGGCAAGGCAAAGAGAGGAGCTAGGATGTAGCTTCCCAAGCTGTCTTCCTGAAATGCCACACCAGTGGATAGAATTGGTATTGCACATTTCCAAAACTAGATCCATAGTCCTTTCACTGCTGGAGGAATCAGAAAAACAGGAATATATCTTGTTCCTTACACAAAAAGGTACTGTAATATTCCTTCCACTATTGATAAGTGAACTTTTCTAAATTTCCAAGAATAAAAACCAGAAACAGAACTGAAAAGTTACTACATCATTTTCATTTCACTTTATGACAAATTCAGAAAAGTGAAAGTTGATAATATCTTGTAGAGCCTAAAGTTGGTACTTGGACTAATCAGCCTGCCTGGGTGACCACTTTTTGGTTTTAGTACTGAACACTGACTGGCTGATGCTATCAGCTTTGCTATTTCTCTGGGAGGTTTCCACACATTCATATTTAATTCTGCTGTTATGTAGACTTTCTATTTCTGTTAGGTATTCTACAGGAAGGGGTCCTGTAGGATAAACACTGGACTCTTAACTGCCAGGTTGGCAGTTCAAACCTACCAGCCACTCCTGAGAAAACCTACATAGGGTCTTTATGAGTCAGGACTGACTTGATGGCACTTACCACCACCACCACTCCACAGGAAAGAAAATGACAAATGGAGTGCAGCCCAGTGTTTATGATATTTGATCTATGTTCCTTTAATATTATTATAGTTATGGAGATAACTTGGAAAATGCAAAGATTCATAAGAAGTAAATACTATTCAATTTTGTTCATGGTATTATTTAACACAAAAAGACTAGTTTGCTTAGAACTGATACCACCAGTTCAGCTTAAACATTAAGTTACACAAATTGTAATGAAGTATTCCTATTTAAAAAAATAACCTAGAGGCTCATAACAAAAAGTCTCCTACTCTACCACCATTTATAACTAATCCCATCTTTTTAAGTTTCTTTGTTTTCTCATGTAGATTCCATGTTTTAAAATACTCATTTGAATTTTAATATATAACTGTTTAATTTTTAGACTACTGACCTCATGATATTTAGCTTTTATGCATCGAGAGTCCTGGTGCGGAACTGTAGGATGAGCACTGGACCACTAACCACAAGGTTGGTGGTTCAAACCCACCAGCCGTTCCATGGACACCCTATCCTATATACAGGGTTGCTATGAGTCAGAATTGACTCGATGGCACTGACAACATCATCTCCCTAGTAGACGTGAAATGCCCACTATGTGCCACAAGATCAGGTGACGTGCACCACTTTCTCACTGGTGGTAGTGGTTATGCGCTGTGGAGTCAGTTCCGACTCATAGCGACCCTGTACAGGGTTTCCGAGGCTGTAAATCTTTCCGGGAGCAGAAAGCCTCATCTTTCTCCCACGGAACAGCTGGTAGTTTTGAACTGTTGACCCTGAGGTTAGAAGGCTGATTTGTAACCACTATGCTCCTTACTTTCTCATTAAAGCTCACAAAAACTTAGTAAGAGTGTATGTATACTGTATGTGTTGGGGATTGCGGGAGCTGTGTATGGGCATTGTGGAAGACGAGGAGAAGGGTAATGTCATTTGGAAACTGGAGGACTAAAAAAACAGGTGCTTTTTTCTTTTGGAAGAAAATTCTTATTTGAATTATCAAAAGTTAAAGTGAACACTGAAAGAAACAAAATTTATTTTTTACAGCACTTGGTTGGTGAGTAACTGATTTGCTACACATCAAAAAACACCCTTCCCCACCAAACACACACACCAAACAAGCCCTGTATACACGGGATCTTTACCATACATGTATTGTTGACTGGAATCCTATGATATGGTTGTTGTTAAGTGCCATCAAGTTGGTTCTGACTCATAGAGACCTTCTGTTGCATTTCTGAGGAGCAGCTGGTAGGTTTGAACTGCCGACCTTGTGGCTAGCAGTTCAGTGCTTATCCTACAGCAACAAACCAGGATGCCCTATGATGTGGTAGACACTGCTTATGATGTGGTAGGCACTACATATACTTGGGTGGGTAAGATGTGATTCGTTCTGTTGAATAATACACTATGTACTGAAGAAAATACTAATTATAGCAATATCTAAGTGTCACTAAAAAGCTGTGTCAAAATTTGCTATGACAAAGAAGTGATCAACTGCTTTGGAGGGACCTATGCAGCTTCATAAAGTGGGTGTTCTGAAGGGTGAACATTTCTTATCTGCCTGATATCAAAAAGTTAGAATGGATATGAGGTCAAATAGGTTTATATATTCAGACTATGAAGGATGGGATTCATCACTGCAATATTATCAAAATGCCTCAACTAATAATACATATCAAGTAGTAATACAATTGTAGCAAAAGTATAATTTAATCCTAAGATTTTCTAGCTACAAAGCCCTGTACACTTTTGCCTAATGGGTAGATTTTGTTCTTTATTAGCACAGCTTTGTTTTCTAATCTATTAATATACCTCACGAAGGAGCCCTAGTAGCACAGTGGTTCGGTGCTAACTACAATGTCACCAGTTCAAACCCATCAAATGCTCTACGGGAGAAAGGTGTGGTGGTTTGTTTCCATAAAGATTTACACCCTTGGAACCCTGAACTCCATCTTGTAGGGTTGCTATGAGTCAGAATCAACTTGATGGCAAGAGATTTGGTTTGGGGTTTTATTATTCTTCATATTTAAAATCATAACTAGTTCTTATACTAAAGATACGATTCAGATGCAATCCTGTATCTGAAAAATTCATCTTAGGAGTCTAAATCTATAATGCATTTTCCATTAGAATTTACTAGCTCATGGTATAGAAAGCTAAGTGCGAAGGGGCTGTAAACAACAAGAACCTGGATTTTGAAGTTAAATACATCTGGTTTCCAATTCTGACCCCGTCCTCATGTGGCACTATGGGATAAAGCACTGGACCGCAAGGTCAGTTTGTATCACAGGTCAGTGGTTCAAGCTCACCAGCAACTCCTTGGAAACTCTATGCAGTGTTGCTTTGAGTTGTAATCAACTCGAAGGCACTTAACAACAACACAGGGTCGCTATGGGTTGGAACCAACTTGACAGCACTTTAACAACAATAACAATACAGTATAACTTATCTAATATACGGCTACCAGATGAAGAATGTTATGTTATTCAACATAGAGAAGACTATAAACCAATAGGAAATATAAAAGGAGACGGCATACTATTTGTAAGACTTAAAAACTCTCTTTCAGGTAGGTGACGAAGAAAGGATATCCCTCTGCCAACTCTGCCATTACCTGCAGTTTGTTATTTTACAGGTTATATGAAAAGGTTCTTCTAAGTTTACAGTATCTGGAATTGCCTCCAAAGATAATCTAACATCTCCATAACCAGGAGCCTAAGAGAGAAAGCAATACAGTTAATATGTATTACTATAAAGTCTTTGCATTTTAACAAAGGCACCAAATCAGCATAGTCACTCAACAGTTGCGGGGTCTCCAAGTTGATGTTCTGACATGACACTTTTCACTAATTCTACTGTTCCCACATTCTAATTTCCTGTGTTTGCTACTACCTAAAGAACAGCACCACAAGTTTTAACAATTTGTTTTTGCTATAATTACTAAAGTTCAGTAGACTTAAGACAATTCTCATGAATTAACATAGGCAGGAACAACTGATACATTGCTATTTTAATTTCTGCTTTGTAAAGTTAAAACACCTTAATTGAGGATAAATTAACATTAGCAGATTTTTTATTTGTCAAGGCCAGTGAAATTATTTGTCCTATCTCTCTTATTCTCTAGTAGTATTAATACTTTTATGGTATTTAAAGTTTAAGTGATACAATTGAAAAATATAAAGATATTCTATCTACCCCTACATACCAACAAACCCCCACCAAAACTCTTGTGTAGACTCACCATTCTTTGAAGTTGGCTGGTCTGTAACCTTCCCCTTTCACCTAGATTTGTTTTCCACACTATATCCAGTTTTCCAATGACTGTTACTCCCTTAATGATGCCTGCTTTTTCTGCAAACTCCTTCTTGGGCTTAAGGCAGTACAAGTACTGGCGTGTATCCATTGGCTGCAAATATGCTCTTGAACCAAATGTAGATGTACTGAGAGGAACGGAGATAGAGAAGGAGAAAAACCTCTAGCATCTTTTAAAAGAAAAACCATGGCTGTGATTGTTCCTTTGGGACAAGAACTGGATGATTAACTACTAAAGATCTAAAACAGAATGTCAGTGGTCTCAATATAAGCACAACTGATTTGTATTGAGAGGGCTTTTTTTTTTCCTCAACTGATTGAAGTGGAAAATGTTGATGTTCTTTATAATAGAAGATATTGGAGATATAACAGATATACCTACCTACTCCTCATTTACTGACACTCATTTGACATTTTGCAGTTATGACAACAGTAAAAAAAACCTACTACCAACTATTCTGCGCATTAATTACATGTCTGACAGTATTGAATGCTAAGGTCCCTGATGGTGACCATAGTGGGTGGACCCCTTGTGCACAAAGAAAGGAAGCTTATATTGCACAGGATTTCACTCCTTAGGACAGGAGAGGGGACAGTTTTCCTGAGCAACCAGGGTACTGGAAAGAGCAGAGCAGGAGCTGGAGTGGGCTATGAAAATGGGATACTGTCCATCAGGTCCTGAGACTGGGGCAGTGGCAGGTGGTGTTTTAAAGGTGAGTCGGCCTTGGGACTGAAGAGAAAGCAGAACCTCAGGGTATGGAACCAGTTTCCAGTCCCAAGGGCTGGGTTGAGCCAGGGTCAGAAAAGGGCCTGAGATGTGGCACTCAGGTGCCCCCACATCAGCTGAGTGCTACCTACATAATGCTCCATTCGGGGTGGGCACAGGTGAGGGAAGGACAAGCCTCCTAAGCAAGGGTGAGGTCAGCAGGTGAGTGGCCTGGCAGTTGAATTTAAGGTCAAGGGCAGAGGCTGGGCCTGGCTGTCATAGTCTTAGAAGCAGCTCTGGATTGTTGATTCTCATGCAATACGGGGACAGAGGGAGCAGGGTCACCCAGGGAGAACACAGAGATTCCTGCGTGAGGGGCTGGCTGGGGAATCCCTTGTGGTACTAGGTACCTCCCACCTGTGGACAGCTAACAAAGCCAACCAAAGGGTATTTTGGGGGCATTAATGACAGGGGTGCTATGGATTGAGCTGGGCCACCAATCCTGAAAATACAGTGAGGGCAAGAGAGGGAGGGGATCCCAGGGATGGAGAAAGGGGTAGTACTTGGGACACCTCGCCTCTGGAAAACTGGATAACCCTCCCCTGCAGGTGGAGAGTTCTCCTGGGGAAATGTGGGAGGGAGTGGTATGGTGGCAGGTAAGCTCAGTAGGGGGCTTGATGGGACATTCACAGCTCAGGTGAGGTGAAGTAGTCACTCCAGTTTCATATAACACTGATGTTCACATAATGACCTGGTGGATAAGTGGTTAAGTGAGGAGTGGGTGTAAATGAATAATGTAACAGCAATCAGGACATTAAGTACCATGTCCCTTTTATCTAAAATTGTCAATGAAAATAGTTTAAGCAGCAGCATACTATCCTTCTTTATATTATCTGTAAAAAGACAAATGTACTACTTTTTCACACACAAAAAATTAAATCATCTATTCCTATGTCCACTACTTTTGGTGGTGTTAGAGTATTCCTTCTTGTTGTTATGTACTGTTAAGTCAGTTCTGATTCAAAAGTAGGGTTTACACGGAGCAGCTGGTGGGTTTGAACTGCCCACCTTGTAATTCGAAGTACAGTGCTGATCCTACAGCGCCACACCAGGAGTCCAAATCATCTACTCCTTTCGCTGTTGGGAGAGTGTTCCTTCTTAAGACTCACTGTCATCCTTTCCTAACTTAGTTTTCACTATTCCTTCCCAAGCCTCAGTTTCATCATTTGTAGGACAGGGATGATAGCATATTTATCTCATCAAATTATCACAAGATTTAAAAGATCAAGTTCTTAAAATAGTTAAAACATAAAATACAAAGGGCTATGATTCTTGTTTATATGTAGATAACTGAAGCACTGATGTAATATTAAAATAATTATAAACTACCCAGGATTTCTGGTGTGGCGCTGTGAGTTAATGCACTGGACTTCAAGGATGGCAGTTCAAACTCACCATTCGTTCTTTGGAAATCCTATACAGGGTTGCTAAGAGTTAAAATACAAAATACAACAAAACCTCATGAGGCAGGCTTGCAGAATGTGCCCTTTGGTTGTTTAAATGATTATATATTCCTGAGTGTTTTTGTGTATATTAAAAAACAAAACAAAAACAGAGGGAACAGAAGCAAATACTGTTAAATAATGATGCATGGAGGGGACTGTAATCATTACAGTGAAATAAAATATGATAGGATGAGTGTAAAACCGATGTTCTCCCATGTAAACGATCTTTCATTTCACAATAAAAACTTAAAAAAGAAAAAACAAATACTTAATACACAGTTCAAATTTACCTTTCTCCAATTTGGTTGACAGAATTTAATTCTGCTACATTGTACATAATAGATGGCTCCAATGATACCTTTTCCATGAACATTGGTGAGTTTGTAATATTCTGAATCTGGGCTTCGAGAAATACTTCATCAGTCTGAGGGCATGAAAAAAATACCCACCAAAGTGTGATGGTATATTAAGGATTTACCTCAACAACAATAGCTGATCTATATGAAAAAATATTAACCACAAATGTGATTAGTTCATGCCTGCAAATCAAAGTTATCATAATTAATGCAAGAAAAGAAATCTTCATCCCAACATAATTAATAGGAGCAAAGTCAAGTGTTAGTCAACTGATACCTCACTAAACAATGGATGGGGGATAACAAATATATTTTGCATTAATATTTGGAAAATATTTAACTGGAATTTCATTCACAAATATTCTAAATCTTTTAGTAATTAAAATGTTAATGTATATTTTATCTGAATATACCTGTGCAATAATTAGTTTGTGATATGTTGTTAATGTTGTCGAATTGGTTCCAACTTATAGCAGCCTTGCATAGGGTTTTCAAGGCTTTAAAAAAAAAAAAAAAAAATCTTTTGTGGGAGCAGAAAGCCTCGGATCTATCTCCTGTGGAGCAGCTGGCAGGCTTGACCTGCAGGCCTTGTGGTTCCCAGTCTGGTGCTAATCACATGGAGCCACCATGGTTCCATAATATAATGAAAGATAATCTGTTCTTTTTTAAAGCTAGTACAGTGATCACTTGGATTGTGAACACTATTGTAAAGGATTTAATGTTTTAATTACAACAATTTGTAAATGGACATTGATTTCTTCTTGGTTTCTGTTAATACGAAGGGGCTTCAAAGCATTTATGGAATTAAAAGACAATGGAAAACCGTTTGAAGCTCCCTCATTCATATTTAGGGTTAGAAAAGCATATGTGAACTATACTGGACAATCTTTGAGTTTTAAAATCAAACGAAAGGTAATTTGTAGCCCCTGTGATGGATTTGAATATAGATACTATTCAGCACCATTTCAGTCATCAGATATTTTAAGTATTTAATTTTATATAAATTTTAATTCTTTAATTGTTTATGTTAAATAGCCGTTTTTATGCTATTTGATTACTATCGTTATGTAACTGAAGGATAATAGACTAACTTAGCTCAACTTTGAAACAAAAACTTACATAAAAAAATGGTAAACCAAGGATATTTAAGAATTATTTTATTTGAAAATTCTATACTAAAAAATACACACAAAAAACAACCTGCGACTAAAAATATTTTGACACTTACAAACTTCTGAAATACTAAAATCAGGATAATGTATATCATTTGTAAAACTAAAATGATGACATTACAAAATAATGATTATCTAAGATAAAGCAAATTCTTTAAACCTGACATGTACACAAATGACAATAGTAATAACCATTTATCAGTAAAAGATATGTACAATTAAGGGCATTATTCTACTCCCTTTTCTCAAAAAAAAGGAAAAAAATAATGAAATATATCCCATCAATCCATTGCTTTAAAAAAAAAACCCAAAACCATAAACCCACATTTTAATTTTAAAAATGCAATTGTCTGCATATACTGAGGAAGAGTTCATGTAAAATGGTAGAAACACAAGCAGCATCATAATGGAAAACCAAGTTAGTCTGAACAGTTAGTATAAAGTGATTTGATGTTAAAAAAAAATTAAGATTAGGATTCAGTGCTGAGGCATTTGATGTTATTAAATGTACAATGCCACATGAGCAAATGTTGCTTATCTGAAATAGAAATTTGAAAATGTGACTTTAGCCAACTTTAAAAAATTTGCTTTTCTTTTGTGACTGCTGTCAAAAGGCCCATTTTCAACTGATTTATACTTAAAACTAAAATCACCATGCATTTGAAGATGGATTTCAATGATATAATCCATTAAATAAATTGAAAAATAGAAATATTTTATAGCAAGGTGTTGATAATCCTAATGCCATTTTTAAAAGGGTTACCAGGTGTCGTTTTAAAAACAGTTCAAGAAACACTAAAAGCAAGAACTGCTTCAATAAAACAATTTAACTTTTGATCACTCCCCCCCAAATTAAGACAATCAATATAATTTAAAAATGGCATAAAAATTATATACAGTTCTCTGAAATTATACATGTGGTATTCACAACTAACTTTGCTTTTCCATTATATTTTGTAGAGAGATTATTAATTAGGAAGAGTCAATAAGTGGTAAGTAAGAAAAGCATATAATTTTATAATAAAAAAATCAAATTACCACAGAACTGAGGTCACTCTAATGGAAAAATAAAAAAGAAAAATTAGAAAAATCAGAGATAAATGTTAAAGAAAAAGAATAACTTTAAAATAAAATGCATTTCTGCATTTTTTTTAATATTTACTAAACAAGACAGCATTAGTGAACAAGAAAGTAAACAGAAAGCAATATGACATAAAGGAATATGACAAACTATTTCTCTAGAGAGGTGAAACTGCTCAGGTTAAATGACAATGGTATAGAGAAGAACACTATAGCTGATAATTAAACAGGAGCAAATACTTAAGGGCACATCTTAGAGGAGAGAGGTATAGTCCATGCCTTTCTAGTTCTTTATAATAACCTACATTGTAACTCTCTAAAGATCATTTAGAATGGATGTTTATTATTCCCATTCTAAACAGATAAATTCTATGTTGTTGGTTGCCATGGATTCTAACTCATAGCAACCAGGTAAGCAGAATGGACTGCTCCATAGTTCTCAAGGCTGTGTGACCTCTTAGAAGCAGACAGGCAAGCCTATCTTCCCTGGCATCTCTGGGTGGGCTGCAACTGTCATTTTTTTTTTTTTTTTGCTAATATTCAAACAAAACCATTTAGCTTCTGGTGTGGCATTATAGGATAAGCACTCGACCACAAAGTCAGTTTGAATTGCAAGGTCAGTGGTTCAGCTCACCACCTGCTTCTAAGAAATGGTATACAGGGTCGCTACGAGTTAGAAAGGCTCGACAGCACGTAACAACATCATCAAATTTATTTTGGACTCCTGGTGTGGCGCTCTAGGATCAGCACTGAACTGTATACCATAAGGTCGGCAGTTCAAACCCAGCAGCTGCTCCTTAGAAACTATATAAAGGATCACTAAGCTTTGGAATCGACTTGACAGCAACTTGTGGCGCTGTGGACTAATGCGTCAGACTGCAAGACATTTGAACTGCAGGGTCACTATGGGTCAGAATCGACTCAACAGCACTTAACAACAACAACAAGAAGCTTATTTTATCCTGGTGAGTCTTTGGTGATTTAGAGTTCCATGTTTCCCACTTGGGGAACGTGTCTTGACCACTTCAGTTTATTCTTTTTTTTAACAGATTTGAGTCTTTCTTTCGTATGTATCTCTAAAACTATTTATTCTTCAGGGGTCATCTTGAATATCACCTTCTCTGTCAAATATGTAACTGGAAATCCTTTTCACTTCTGTTTTCCTACAGTATAATGATTGCTAAGTGCCGTCAAGTTGGTTCCGACTAAAGCGACTCTATATAAAAGTTCTAAGGAGCAGCTGATGGGTTTGAATGGCCAACCTTGAGGTTAGCAGTCTAGTGCTTATCCTACAGCAACAAACCAGGACTCCACGATGCTTGTACTTCATGATATTTTATTCCCTCAGATCATAAATCATTATATGATTAGTGATTGGGACCTACCAGCCACTTTACAGGAAAGAGGTGAGGCTTTTTGCTCCAGCAACAATTTACAGCCTCAGAAGTCCTATACAGAGTTAGTCGCTATGAGTCAGAACTGACTTGATGTCACTTAACAACAATATTGCAGTTATGTCACGTCAGTCTCCTCCACTAGATGTAAGTTCCCTGAGCACTGGGAAGATGTCCAGTTAATATTTATTTCTATCTAATACCGAGCAGGAGATTCTATACCAAGTACATGACCAAGGCATTCTGATGTCACCAATCTTCTTTAAGACTTTCTTATCTTCTTGTTAAGTGCCATCGAGTTGGTTCCCACTCATAGTGACCCTGCATAGGGTTTCCGAGGAGCAGCTGATGGATTTGAATCACCAACCCTGTGGTCAGCAGTCCAGTGCTTATCCTACACTGCCACATCAGGACTCTTTATCTTAGAAGACTACAATGAAGTTTCTCAGGCAATTTCTTTTCCTATTGGTGAACCACTTATTATTACCAACAGCATCAAAAACATGGTGGAGACAAACAGGGTGCTAATAATATACAAGACAGAGTGAAAAATTATCCACACTCTGGCCGCAGAATTTATTTTAATTAACTTTGAGAAAAGACATCATTTTCCAACATAATGTCCTTGTTTTTCACTACACTTTGTCCATCTGTCAACAAACTTTCATATTCCCTTATAAAAAATGCTTTAGGTTGAGCTGCAACCCACAAATGCACTGCTGTCTTCACTTCTTTATCAGAGGTGAATCTTCATCTTTGAAGGGCTGCTTTCCTTGAAGGGGACCAAAAAGGTGAAACCCTTTGGAGCAGGATCAGAACAACAGGAGGATGGTTTAACACCTCAAAACAAAGTTTTTGCAATGTGTCAACAGTGTGTGCAGAGGTGTGAGGATGTGCATCGTCATGCACGATCACAATGCCCTAGGATAGCAGTTCTCTGTGTTTAGGCTTCAGCTCCTCAGTGAGCATCTCACTGTAATGAGCACTGTTGATGGTTGAAACTTTTTCCTAATAGTATTTCAATACTGGCCCTTGAGAATCCCAGAAAGATATAAATAAGAATTTTTCAACTGATGGTTGACCTTTGAACTTTTTCTTGGTTGGCGATTAAGAATGTTTCCATTCCATACTCTGCCACTTTCAGGCTCTTAGTGGTGAATCCATGTCTTTGTGATGAATCCATTACTCTCCTCAGCTTAAAAGAAACTTTTACCTTACTTCGAGTATTTGTCCAAATTATGTTTCCAGATGTCCATGATCACACCTGCACAGCAGTGACCTTGAATGGAAAGCGCTAAGACAGTGCAGCCAACACAAGTTTTAATATAATTGGAGTGTGGATAATTTTTGACTCACCCTTGTAGGTATTCACAGACAGTGTTGTTACTGTTAAGTGCCACTGAGTCGGTTCCGACCCATCATGACCCTATATAGGGTTTCTGAGATCGGCTGGCATGAACAATAGTAGAGAGCAATATGCTTCATCTACTGACGGTAGTGTTGTTGAACGACTCCTCCAATCTACCAGAAATCCCAATTGTGGTCAATGGGTAATAATGAGTATCTCAGAGGGATACTGTTGCTATTGTTATGTGACATCGCATTGGTTCCAACTCATAGAACAGGGTTTCCAAGGAGCATCTGGTGGGTTTAAACCCCCGACTTTGCAGTCAGCAGTCTAGTGCTTATCCTACACATCCTAAATGCCATTTATTCACTCTTGATATTTAAAGAGATGTCTGTTTTGAGACATTCAGAATTTTACTAAAAAAATTAGCAAAAAGTTTTTAGGTTATATTTGCATATAATGTTAACTGAAAAAGAAGCAAGTGAAATTATTATTATGATTATAAAAAACAGATTATGATATGTAAGTGGTAATGACTGAAAGAAAATAGGGTTTAATGAAGTTCAATTACTTGTTAGTGTGGTGAAATTTTAGGTTTTTTTTCTTTTGGTGGGCATTTTGCTGTTATATTCATAGAAATGACTAGAAATTTAAAAATTTAGCTGGCAGGTCACTCCAAATATTAATGTTACAAAACTACATGACAAGTGTCAAAGGTATCACCATAATTTTCAACAAAGAAAATTTTAAATAGCTTAATTAATAATTTTTCTAGGAGTCTTCTATAGAAAAAGAACCTTCTTATATTCCTATTTGTTTTTATTTGCTAACCTATTCTATTTATTTGCAATCTATTCTAACAGAATTAACATTCTCCACTCATACTACAGATGAAATCTTTTCTAGCACATTAATAAATTAGACTATTTAAAACTCACCAAGTTAAATGGCTATACTATAATTAATCAACAACACACTATTGGTTACAAAGTATGTGGAACAAATGTCATTTTCCAAAACTCCTATCTTCTCCCCAAAGAAATGTCAACTATAAACATTTACTAATCTCCTTAATAAGGCAGTACCTCTCATTAAGTATGTCTGTTCTTTAGCATGTACTCATTATTCCATGTGCATTACCAGCTTTTTACTGTTCTGACACTTTTCTGTTTCAACATGTACTCCAGGCTCCCCTGTCGTTCCCTTCCTCTTCTGTAAAGCTTCTCCAGACTATCCAAAATCTCATCCCAGAATGCCTCTAGCACAACTGTTTATATCATCTCTTTACACTTCCTGTACACTATCCAAGGTAGTTTTGCTATTTTATACATTTTTCCCCTTTTTCTCCTAAAAGGCTTTCACCATAGGCAGGTATAGTTTCTCAGACATCCTAGTATTTATTCCCAGTTTACTACAAACATTACACTAAGAAAATTCTCAAATGCTGATGATAGAATATCCAAAAATGTTTCTGATTTTCACAGGGTTTTAGAGAATTAGATATATAACCTTCACTTCAAAATACTATATTTGGACATCTCTGAAATCACCACTATGCTATGAAAAACATGATTGGGTGGGGGTAGGTAGAGAAACAGGGAGGAGTGCACAGTAATTTAATTTTTCTAGCACTCTTGAAGCAAAGATAGAATAGAATATTCTAGACAAAAGCTAATCAAAGCCTCCTGTGGTAAATCCTGTTTTATATCTTTTGTTAGGATAGAAGATACATGATCTTTTATTCTAAAAATTACTTCTCTCTTTTTTCAAAACTTGTTTCTACCAAGTTTTGGAAGTCATTCACAAAACTGAGCAACCTTACTCTGGCAGGCCTGGTGACTTTCTGGGACAAAAATTAATGTGCAGAGCTTTACTTGTCAATATTTTTACACACAAATTCTAAATCTACTTTGCAGCATTACATTACATGTACTTCTATTTTTTTAAAAACTCAAGACACTTAAAATATTCATCAGATTGATAATATATTTACAGCAAAAATCATAAAATGCAGCTATATAATCATTTCATGAAAAATTAGAAAGACTCACAAAATTAACAATGAAAATACAAATCAAGAAGCACTGATTTCACATAAGTTGAAAAAAGATTACAAGAGACCAAAAGTTCAAATGATTCACGCTGATTAAATTTTATACTCATTTTTTCACAAGTAATATAGTCTTATAGTAATTTACTTAATTATGATGAGAAATGCAATAAATCAGACTTCTAGTAAATTAAGATCTTAATGCTTAATTTAAAATCCCATTAGGTGCCCAACACTTACCTCTGCATTGTAAAATTTGGTTTTCACATCTAGTGGTTTGAGAACCTGGTTAAACAAAGCACATCACTCAGAGTAGACCCTTATTACCATTTGACCAGACATTTGTATTTAATCACAGGGTTTATATTGTTGTTAGTTACGTGCCATTTAATCGGTTCCGACTCATAGCAACTCTGTATAGGATTGACTCTGTGTAGGATTTCCGAGGAGCAGCTAGTGAGCCTGAACCGCTTTGCAGTCCCACAAGAGCCACACCAGGACTCATCAAAGTCATTACCCAGTATTAATTGTAAAAGACTTCCCCAGTGGGCATGTAACACTTATAAAAAAGCAAAACAAGCCTCAAATGCAGTTTTTAAAGACCACCATTATTTTATACAGGATGAAAATTACATGGGTGTTCACTCTGTAACATTTTGTTAAATTGAATGCATTTATTTTCTATACCTATGTTATAGTTCACAATAAAAATGCTTATAAACAAACAATAAACAAAACAATGGATCCTTTTAAAACTAAGTCATTCAAGATACTTGAGTTCTGCAGCAAACCAAAGGCAATTTTGCTACTGATAATACTTTTTTACTTATAAAACAAACTTAAGTTTTATATATCTTTTAAGTACATAACACCATTACCTATCTGTAGATAAAAAGAGCATTCATTCCACCTTCCCCCCTGACGTAAACACATACACTGGGTTAACCAGTGGTTTTCAATCAGTCTTTGAAAGTTGTATAAATACAAATTCCTACCTACAATTTCAGTGCCTCATGTAGACTTGAAGCAAGTTAGGTTCACTCATCCCAAGTTATCAATCTCTCTTTTAAATACTTCTTTAGAAATTTGATACTACATACATTCATTTCTATGTTGTGTGTTTTTGCATGTCATGAAAACAAACTTTTCTTTCACATAAAAACCTTCAAATTGCATTCCCGAAACATTGGCAAAGTTATTTTGCTTTGCTTTTATTTAGCACAGTTTAGTCTGATTTTAGAGTGCTAATAATGACAAGGACACCCTGGTGGTGCCATGGTTAAAGCACTCCACTGCTAAAAGACAGACCAATGATTTGAACCCATCAGTGGCTCTGTAAGAGAAAAGTACTGATGATAGTCTCTCAAAGAAGACCTGTGGGGCAGTTACTATAGTGGTACTAGGAGTCAGAATCACCTCAACAGAACACAGTAACAAGTGATGTAACAAACCCATAAATATGCAGCTTATCTGCTGTATTTGGAGCTTGTTTTCTTTGAAAATAAATAAGTGTATACTTTCAGGAGGAAAAAATCTAAAAACAATTGATCATTGTCATATTTAATACCTGAAATTTGAAGAATTTTCTAAAATACATTTTTTCTCCACTCTGAGTTGTGTAACTCACTGCACACACCAAGCTGGGGGGAAAAACAAAAAAAAAGATGTCTTAATGATTCTGAATCATTATCCATTTCATTTCTTAACAGTAAATGTAACACACCTCAGTGTGCCTCTCAGATTGAGACCATCTATGTCAGTGTGAACCTGGTGAGGCTAGTGCAGCTGAAGCTTAACTTCATGACAAAGAAGCCTGTGAGCACTAAAACAAGATTCACTTGGAAGCAGGAGGCTCCTTTCCATGGAAAGATGAAATACATTCTAAAATAAACCCTAGAACATCCAGATAAAACTCATTGTCATCGACTCACTTCTGACTCTCAGAAACCCTACAAGACAGGGTAGAACTGCCCCATAGGCTTTCCAAGGTTGTAAATCTTTACAGAATAAGATTGCCACATCTTTCTCCTTCAGAGTGGCGATGGGGTTCGAACTACTGGCGGTTCAGTTAGTACCCAAGCACTTCATCACTCACTGCATCACCAGAGTTCCTAGAATAAACAAATGGCTCACTCCAAAAAAAAGAAAAGAAATTAAAAATAAAACCACATAAAAGAGGAGAAAGTACATATAAATTATTTTTTAGACTTCAGGATGGGGGAAGACTTCTTAACATAAAAGCAATGGAAAGGAAAAGATCATCAGATTAATTGACATATAAAATTTTAAATGACATTAAGTCAAAAACACTAAAAATTAAAAAGACAACATATTGGGATAAAAATAGTTATAATAAAATGATGAGAAAAGGATAAGGTTCTTAATATTGTCAATATGTCAATAAGCAGATCATTAAGATTTCACTCAAAATATGAGCAAAAGAATTTATAATTGGCTAACAAAAATGTGTAATTCTTCAGCTTCACAAATAAAGAAACAAAATGATGAGATATAAGATTTTTCTATCAAGATCTGGTAAAAATTAACCTCTTAATTTATCTTTGTTGTTAGCAAAATACACAGAACACAATTTTTACATGTAAAATCGATGGACACTAATTTTGCTCTTTATAGTATATAACCATGACCTCTTTAAAGTGTTCAAGTGCAAAGACATTAGAGTTCGAAGACTAAGGTGTGCCTCACACAAGTCATGGGGAAAGTTGGGACAATGAATAAGGAGATTTTAGAAGAAGTGATGCATTTGAATTATGGTGTTGGAGAAGATTATTAAAAGGACCACGGACTGCGGGTAGAACAAAATCTGTCTTAGAAGAAAGAACAACCAAAATGCTCCTCAAAAGTTACGATGGCAAAATTTCTCTCATATTTCAGAAATGCTACCAGGAGGGACCAGTCCCTGAAGAGTAGTCCCTGGTAAAGTGGATGGTCAGTAAAAAAGCGAGATACCACCTAACAAGATGGATTGACACAGTGGCAGCAGCAATGGGCTAAACACATAATAAGTTTGAGGATGGCGCAAGACTAGGCAGTTTTGTTCTGTTGTGCATAAATTCGTTATGAATTGGAAACAACTCCACAGCACCCAACAGCAACCATCAATTTCAACCTTCTTTTCTAAGTTGCTCATATGCCACTAACATAAACTCACTACCCTCTTAAATTTTCTACCTAATCTTTCAAGATGCTGTTGTTAATTTTATCCCCTAGGAGCTCTGGTAGCGTAGTGGTTACGAATCGGGCTGCGAACCTTAAGGTCAGTGGTTCGAAACTACCAGCCGCTCCGCGGGAGAAAGATGAGGCTTTCTGCTCCCATAAAGATTTACACCCTCGGAAACCCTGTACAAGGTCGCTATAGGTCGGAACCGACTTGACGGCATTTAACAACAACAAAGAGATCAATCTTAAAATAGAACAATGCTCAAGGCAGAAATTGGTTTAACAAGACGTCAGGGGATATTGTGGATTAAAGATTATATCAAAGCAATAGTGTCAGGAGTTCAACAAGGCTCAATGACTCCAAATAGTCTGGATTTCATGAAAATTTGAAATTCTGTTTCCCATTTTCTCCTTTTTGATCAGGATTCTTTCATAAAACCTTTGATCAAAATGTTAAATGGTGGTAGCTAGGCTCTATCCAGTTCTTCTGGTGTCATGAGCCAAAGAAAATAGACATATATTGCATTCTTTTTCCTATTTCTGTTGCTCTTTGCGCTCACTTTAGGTGACTAGAAACCACCTGTTGTGCCTTGGATGACTGCTTACCCCAGGCACTATGCAACAAACAAGGAGGTTGAAGAGAAGCACTAAATATGCTACTAGGCCATTTACTTTGGTTGTGCCATGAAATCACGGCCCTGAACCTGCAAACAGAGAAATCAAATCCCATGAAGTATTTGGTTGTACATAAGCCAGCATCAGTAGATACTATTTTTTATTCTTCTTTCTTTTTCATCACTGTAAATATTCTCATACAATTTTTTGCTAATTCAACTTTTTATAGATATACAAGTTATGGACAGCAATCACATTCATTGGTTAAGCTCATAGAAGAAATAACCCTCCTTGCCTCCCCTCATTCTTCCCTCTTACCTTTTGTAACCATTAAGAAACTCTGACCTCTGTCTTTTCTTTTTTTATTGTGAATTATGTGATAGTTTACAGGACAACATTAGCTTTACATTCATCGTATCGTATTTCGTTTCATTGCAGTGATAACAATCCACACCATGAATCACCAAACAACTGAAGGGTACACCCCACAAATCTGCCCCTCAGCTGTCAGCACACAGACCTTTTCACTCCCTGAGTCCAAAGTCCCCAGCCACTCCAACTCTCCACGTCGTCATCTCTACCTCCATCTCTGGTGTCACTGCTTCTCTGGATAGGGTCCCGCACTCCGCTTTTCTCCCTTGATGGTCCCAGGAACCTCTGCTCCCAGACTACAAAATCAACCACTTCCCTCCTTTTGTTACAAAATGTCTACCTTTACATTTTCAACCCTCACAATTAGTCTTGATAGCAATTATTCACTATTGAACCACAAGAGTTTTATCCCCATCTCCTTTCATCAGGCCCATTCAAGCAGACTGGGAACCACTCAGTGGAGATTCTACCTACCCCGCATCCTCTGGAACTAGGATCCCTCTTGAAAGCTTGTAAGCGAGTCACTTCTTGCCTTTGTATCCCCCACTTTTGGGAAGCCAATGTCTAAGTTGCCCACCTCTGTCAACCCTGCACACTGAGGGGGTGGGGATGATCCTCGCTATAAAGATTTGTTCCCTCTTTTGAGCTACTACATAAGTATAGGTCAAGTTCATCAAAATTGTCACAGATTACTTTTTCCTTTTCTTTCTTCCTCTAGTCGAGTTCTGATCATCCAGCCATTGAAGCCAGGTCAAATGGATACCATCTGCAAGTATGGGTGTTCTTGTGCATCTCCTCTCACTTCATATCAGCTGGATGCATCACTCTATACTCTGTGGCTATGTCACTGTCTCTGGGCCCAGGAGTCCCCATGTCTTGCCACACTGCTGGCCGATCAGGTCTCCATCCGGGTTCACAGGAGTCTATTGAATACGTGGTCAGACACAGCTCACAACTTCATTGCTGTTTTCCCCCCACTTCCCCTTATCATTGACCAGCGCGGTCACCAGCCAGACCACATGCCTGCTCGTGTATTCCTCTTGAGTCAGTCTTGGAAAAGGGGTTTGCCCTGAGGGGACCCAACCACTTGCCTTGATAGCTCCCAAGCAAACAACTTGTTTGTTCTTGTAGTAGTCAATTGGTCTGCCATTATTGTTTTTGATTTTTCCTGCCGGTCTGTCTTTGAAGAAATACCTTCTGTTCTTCTAGCCAATCCAGGTTGGATTGCTTGTCCTTTCAAGTGGAAATTTCCCACCTCGGAAGCTTCTGGATGGGGTTTGGGATTCCACCTATGGTTTTATGAAATGCAGAGGCTCTGCAGGAAGCTTCCTCACTGGGCACATTGTAGCCCCATTTTATTTAGGTATTCCAATCAGTTATAGGTAGATGACAGACTTACAAGCTTTCTATGGTGATATTGCTGGCTATTTCTTTCTCTCCCCTTCAAATGCCTATTTTACAATGGTAGCAAGGGAAACCAAGATTCAAGCACACAAGCATCTTAACATTATTTCCCCTCTTTTACCCATTCAAACCATGCCTCAATCCCTGTATTCCAGAAC